AAAAAAAAAAAAAAAAATAAAAGGACCCAGACACAGCCGAGAACCGGCAACCTACGGGTCGGTTGCGGGCCGAGCCTGCCCGTGGTAACGTCTACCTAAGACACCAAACATAGAGGCTGCTATAACTATGAGAATGCATAAAGTAGAGAAGAGAAAAGATATATGTTTTTCATAGATCGTAATAGTGAGATTACATCCAATATATAGAGGTTGCACATCCAAAATTAAACCAAATCAAATCAAATCAAATATATACTACTACCAAAATTAGCTTAATATATATAACTACCAAACTTAGCATAATACCCCCCCTCAAGTTGGTGCATGAAGATTTCGAATGCCCAACTTGCGTAGAAACACCGAGAAATCATGGCCACCCAATGCCTTGGTGAAGATGTCTGCCTCAATGTAGTCGATACCTTCAACCTGGTTGTTCCCAAGAATGACTAAACGCGCTTTGTAACGTTCAATGGATCCGTCAGAGCGGCATTTGATGCGGTACACCCATTTGCATCCAATAGTTTTCTTTCCGGGAGGAAGTGCAACGACAGACCAGGTATTATTATTCTCAAGAGTTGCGATTTCGGATTTCATGGCAGAACGCCAATTAGAGTCCGCCATCGCCTCAGAAAATGTTCGCGGCTCAACCGAAGCTTCTATCGCTGCCAAGAAAGTCTTATGGGCAGATGAAAAAGTAGTGTTATCAATAAAATGGGCTAATGGATAAGGCGTACCTGAGGACGATGAGATGGTGGTAGAGCGAGCGGGGGGGTTAATAGTACTGGTGATGTGATCTCGTAGTCTGGTGGAAGGAAATTTTGTCCGATGCCCACGGCCGAAGAGCTCGGTAGAGGCTGTAGAGTCAGGGCCCCCCCTGACCTCAGTTGCCTCAGAAGCAGGGGAAGAGGCCGGGTCTGGAGCAGAAGTGGAGTCTGGAGCAGAAATGGGGTCCGAATCAGAAACAGGGTCCGGAGAAGACGCATCATCAATAGCATGCCAAGGCGTAGGGAAAACAGGCGGCACAGAACCGGGCTCAGAAACAGGTAATGGAGAATAAGGAAACTGGTCCTCACAAAATTTAACATCTCGAGAAACCAGAAACTGTCGAGTGTCAAGATCAAAAACTGACCACCCCTTTTTGCCGAAAGGGTAGCCCACGAAAACACACTTTCTACTACGACTAGCAAATTTATCCCCCAATCGATCCAAATTATGAACATAGCATAAGCAGCCAAAAACACGAATGTGGTTAAGAGTTGGTGATTTTCCAAAAAGAACCTCATAAGGACTCTTACCATGTAACACCTCCGTAGGAGTACGGTTAATTAAATATCCGACAGTCAAGACACAGTGACCCCAAAATTCAATAGGCAGATTGGCCTGAAAGCGCAAAGCACGGGCCACATTGAGAATGTGGCGATGTTTGCGTTCTGCACGACCATTCTGCTGAGGGGTAGCAACACAGGATGTCTAATGTAAAATACCTTTTTTCTGAAAATATGAAGTGAGACACTTAAATTCAGTTCCATTATCACTTCTAACAACTTTCACCAATTTATGAAACAGACGGTGGACCATGGCAAAAAAACCGGTTAAAGTAGCCGAAACACTGCTTTTGTCAGCTAACAAATAAAGCCACACAGCACGAGAAAAATCATCAACAATTGTCAAAAAATATCTTGCTCCAGAGAAAGAAGGGACACGATAAGGACCCCACAAATCACAGTGAATTAAAGCAAAAGGTTCCAAACTGACACTATCACTTAGAGGAAAAGAGTCTCTAGTATGCTTGGCACGATAACACACATCGCAAGCTTTATTATCAAAACGACTAACTTGACTAGGAGGGAAACTACATAATTTTCCAAGAACCTTTGAAGGTGGATGTTCGAGCCGTCGATGCCACAACTCCAAAGAACCACTGACTGATACTTGAGCCGTTACTGCTGTCATAGGATCACGAAAAAAATATAACCCCCCTTTTTGCTCACCCAGACCAATCACCGTCCTCGTAGCACGGTCCTGTATCAAACAATCAATATTAGTGAAATGGGCTACACACCCATGATCCTCCAGTAAGTGATATAAGGAAATAAGGCTGCACTTAAGACTGGGTACAAATAGGACATTCATCAACACCAAATTATGACCAAGCCGGACTGAGCCAGCTTTAGTCGCAGCAGTCAATTGGCCATCAGGAAGTTGTACCGGTCGAGGTGAAATATCACAAATATCAGTAAGTGAGTTATAGAAACCAGTCATATGATGTGTAGCACCACAATCATACATCCAAGTACGGGAGTAATCCTTATTGGGGCGGATGATATTAACAAGAGCCTGCCATTGAGCAGAACTCAAACCTGTGGAGGCCAAATTAAGACCAGCCCCAAAAT